GATAGATAGATAGATAGATAGATAGATAGATAGATAGATAGATAGATAGATAGATGAGACAGGTTCTTCCTGTGTTGCCCAGGCTGGCCTCAAACTCCTGGGCTCCAGTAATCTCCTGCCTTGGCCTCCCAAAGTGCTGATTGATTACAGGTGTGAGCCACCATGCCTGGCCACAGCCAGGTTCCTTGAGTTAGTTAGCACTCCATAAATCTCAGCATCTCAGCCAGGGGCAGTGGCTCACACCTGTAATCCCAGCACTTTGGGAAGCTGAGGCAGGTGGGTCACCTGAAGTCAGGAGTTCGAGACCAGCCCGGCCAACACGGTGAAACCCCATCTCTACCAAAAAATACAAAAATTAGCTGGTCATGGTGGTGGGCACCTGTAATCCCAGCTACTCGGGAGGCTGAGGCAGAAGGATCATTTGAAGCCGGGAGGCAGAGGTTGCAGTGAGCCGAGATCGCGCCACTGCACTCTAGCCTGGGTGACAGAATGAGACTCTGTCTCAAAAATAAATAAATAAATAAGTCATCATCTTTACATTCTCTCGGTGGCCTTGTGTGTTGTCAACACCATCATCAATAATGGCATTTCAAACTAATCATTTACATTCCGACATACAGTCAAGCACCACACAATGATGCTGTAGTCAACAGACCGCACAGACGACACTGGTCCCATTAAGATTCTAATACTGTACTTTCACTGTAGCTTTTCTGTATTTAGATGTAAATAGATACACAAATGCCTTTGTGCTACAACTGCCTACAATATTCAGTACAGGAACCTGCTGGGCAGCTTTGTGGCCTGGCAGCCACAGGCTCTATAGCCGACGTGTGTTGGAGGCTAGACCGCCCAGGTCTGTGCTGGCAGCCACAGGCTCTATAGCCGACGTGTGTCAGAGGCTAGACCGCCCAGGTCTGTGTACACCCTGCTGTTCACACAACGACCAAACACCGAGTGGCGTGTTTCTCAGAACGTATTTCCCGTCGTTGAGTGACATGGGATTATATTCCTCCCTGTCTCCTTCCCAGAAAGGAGTCCATGTGGGACACGGTAACTGCTGTGTAATACTATCTGGTCTCATGAGCGTCACATACAAGATCTATTGAATTTCTACAATTCTGAGATGCAGAGAGGACAGGCAATGAACAGAAAAGGTTTTGAAGGGTAAATTATTGCCCAAGGCCACACAGCAGGTAAGAGATGGAGCCAGGATCCAAACCCAGGACCCTGGGCTCCAGATAAAAGGGTCCCTGTATATTAAAAAGTGGTCTAGGTTGAAAATACAATTCAACTGGTGAATGACCAAAGGACAATAAGAAACCAAGAAGTTTCACGGTTCCCATTTAAAAAAAAAACAAACTCAAAGGCTGGCGTCAGGGAGGACACTGGCTCCTCAATTAGCCCTGGTGCAGCCACCAGACTCAGCGAGGTAAGTGTGAGGAGTCAGCACTGGGCCCTCTGTCCCTCTAGCGGGGCAAATGCCTGCAGATGCCAACTCTGCTCCAAGAGACCGTGGCTCCAACCCAGGAGTGGAGCAGGGACAAGCACAAGGCCTGAGCTTTCTCGTGGACCCCCAAGACAGTGGGGCCATCTTGACATCACAACCCCCTGCCAGGAGGAAAAGGAGGGGGCAAAGACATCAAAGACCAAGGATTCTACGTGGGGGCCCTGCTGGGCTCCACCCGCCATCACTGGCACCGCTAGGGGGACCCGCCTCCAGGTACCTCCCTGCAGGTACGGCAGGGCCACGAAGATGGCCAGGGATAGCTGCGGCCTCTCCTGCCACTAGGGGTCAGGTCAGACCAATGCATCAACTATCACAGTCCCTCAAAGGCTGGGAGAAATGATCG